ACAAAGGCGGCCGAGCATGATGTTGGATGGCTACTCCCTCGTGCGCCGTGCCGGCCTTCATAGGTGCTCGCTAACAGCACTTGCCCCGTGTCTGTTACAGGCTATACGGGGGATCTTTGCTTCTTTGGTATGAGGAGCGGTAGTGAAGTGGGTGAGCGCACTGCGCTCCAAACCCGGCGACCCGAGTTCGACTCCCGATCTTAAGCCCTCCACTAGATCGACTCAGCCTTAAATATGTACCCGATGCGAAGTGCAATCATCGCCACTCGGGAGACAAAGCCCCCCCCCCCCGCGGGCGTGGCGCTGACCCCCCCCCCCCCCCCTCGTGCGCCGTGACCGGCACCTCCACGCAGGCGAAACTCGCTAACAGCACTTGCCCCCAGCAGTCCGCTGAAGGCTACACGGGTGACCTTTGCCTTTGCCGCGACAGCCCAGCGGCAGCGAGAAGCGCCCCGTGCCGCCCGTGCAAGACGCCAAAACACAACAACTTCCAAACAAAAGGTAAAGATCCCCCGTGTAGCCTCGAACAGGCGGCAAGGGGGCAAGTGCTGTTTGCGAGTGGCACCGATGAAGGCCGGAACGGCACTCGAGCGGGGTTGGGTTGAGCGACACCACGCCCGGCCGCCTTTGTCTCCCCAGTGGCGGTGTTTACTGCACACCGCACCAGGTACTCATTTGAGGCCGAGCCGACCTAGGGGAGGCCCAGGACCGGGTCAGAAAATCGTCACTGGGTGTTGGCCGTGAGCGGGAATCCAACTCGGGTCCGCCGGGTTCATTGCGCAGCGTAGCGCTAACCGCTACACCACCGCTCCCCACACCAAAGAGACACGCACACACACACATGCACACACGCACACGTATTACACACAGACAAAGGTCCCCCGTGTAGCCTGTGATAGACTATCAGCGAGCACCTATTAATACCTGAAGGGCACACGAGGGGGCGATATGGCCAGGGGTGATGTTTACACACCTCGCAAGCAGGCACTCGATTTGAGGCCGAGTAGACCTGTGGGATGCCCAGACGCAGTTGAGATATTCGTCACCGATGTTGCCCGCGAGGCGGGATTCGAACTCGAGTCGCGCCCCACGTCAACCACTGCGCCACCGCTCCCCACGCACACACAAAGACAAAGACCCTCCGTATAGCCTTCAACAGACTGTAGGGGCAAGTGCTGTTAGCGAGCACCTATAAAGTTCGGCACGGCACACGAGGGGGTGGGTGGCCAGCACCACACCCATGTGACGATGTTGACACACCGCACTGGGCTACGCATTTTTAGGCCGAGTCGACCTAGAGGAGGCCCAGCAACGGTTTAGAAATTCCTCACAGAAAGTTGGTGACCGTCAGCGTGACTGGAACTTGGGTCGACGGGTTTGTAGCGCAGCGCGCTAACCCCTGCGCCACCGCTCCCCATCAAAGACAAAGACCACCCGGATAGCCTCGTCAGACTGTTGGGGTGTCTAACGCGACACCGCCGCTCCACGCCAACACAAATAAACAACAACTCCACACACACTCACACACGCTAAGGTGTCACCACTAGGTTGCCTGAACGGGGATCTTCGTCCTCGTGTGATGGTGCGCCTGTTTTAATGTGTGTGTGTGTGTGTGACTGTGTGCGTGTGACAGTGTGTGTGTGTGTGTATGTGACTGTGTGTGTGTCAAAGTGACTGTGTGTGTGAGTGTGTGTGTGTCAAAGTGACTGTGTGGGGAGCGGTGGCGGAGTGGTTAGCGCGCTGCGCCACACACCTGGCGACCCGGGTTCGATTACTGCTCACGGCCAACATCAGTGACGATTATCTGAACCGGTCCTGGGCCTCTCCTAGGTCGACTCAGCCTCAAATGAGTACCTGGTGGGTAGATAAAGGCGGCCGGGCGTGGTGTTGGCCACCCACCCCCTCGTGTGCCGTGCCGGCCTTCATAGGTGCTCGCTAATAGCACTTGCCCCTACAGTCTGTTTAGGCTATACGGGGGATCTTTATCTTTTGTGTGTGTGTGATTGCGTGTGTCAAAGTGACTCCGTGTGTGTAAAATTGACTGACTGTGTGTGTGTCAAAGTGACTGTGTGTGTGTCAAAGTGACTGTGTGTGTGTCAAAGTGACTGTGTGTGTGTGTGTCAAAGTGACTGTGTGTGTGTGTCAAAGTGGCTGTGTGTGTGTGATCGCGTACGACTGGGGTTGTGCAGAGGTCGTGCGGTGGATAGCGCGCTGTGTGTATGTGCCGAGAACTTCTTTCGCACCGTACGGAGCACGAGGTAAACACGAACCCGGCGACCCGAGATCGATCCCCAGCACCAGCGACTACAATCTGAAACGGTCCTGGGCACTCAAACGAGAGCCTTGCGCGGTGCGTAAACGTCGCCACTCGGGAAGACAAAGGCGGCCGGGCGTGGCGCTGGCCACCCAGCCCCTCGTGTGCCGTGCCGGCCTTCACAGGTGCCACTCGCTAGCAGCACTTGCCCCTACAGTCTGTTAACGACGACACACGGGGGCATCTTTGTCTTTGTTTTTAGACGCGCGTCAGATTGCCTGTGCGTGACTGTGCGCACGACGGAGTAGCCATGCAAGTTACGACTTCGTGACTGGGTGACCTTGTGCGTGCCTGACTGGGTGCCTGACTGGCTGCCTGGCTGGGTGCCTGACTGGCTGCCTGGCTGGGTGCCCGACTGGGTGCCCGACTGGGTGCCTGACTGGCTGCCTGGCTGGGTGCCTGGCTGGGTGCCCGACTGGGTGCCCGGCTGGGTGCCTGACTGGGCGCGTGGAGCGGGGCCAATGCGTGTGCGACTTTTGTTTTATGCGATGGAGCAGCGGATCCACTCACCTAGGTGACCACCGCGTGACTCTGATGCGAAGACTGCATTTGACCTTGTGTCTCTGAGTCTGTGTGTGTGTCTCTGTGTGTGTGTGTGTGTCTCTGTGTGTGTGTGTGTCTCTGTGTGTGTGTGTCTCTGTGTGTGTGTGTCTCTCTGTGTGTGTGTCTCTCTGTGTGTGTGTCTCTCTGTGTGTGTGTCTCTCTGTGTGTGTGTCTCTCTGTGTGGGGAGCGGTTAGTGTAGCGGTTAGCGTGCTGCACTACGAACCTGGCGACCCAGGTTCGATTCTCGCTCACGGCCAACATCAGTGACGATTATCTGAACCGGCCCTGGGCCTCCCCTAGGTCGACTCAGCCTCAAATGAGTACCTGGTGCGATGTGTAAACATCGCCGCTAGGGAGACAAAGGCGGCCGGGCGTGGTGTTGGCCACCCACCCCCTCGTGTGCCGTGCCGGCCTTAATAGGTGCTCGCTAATAACACTTGCCCCTACAGTCTGTTAAGGCTATATGGGGGATCTTTGTCCTTGTATCTCTGTGAGTCTTGACAATCCACGTGTGCGTGTCTGTGTGTGTCCTTGTGTCTCTGTGAGTCTCGACATATCCACGTGTCTGTGTGTATCTGTGTGTGTCTGTGTGTGTCTGTGTGTGTCTGGACATATCCACGTGTGTGTGTGTGTCTGTGTGAGTCTGTGTGAGTCTGTGTGAGTCTGTGTGAGTCTGTGTGAGTCTGGACATATCCACGTGTGTGTGTGTGACCTTGTATGAGTGCGTCAGTGCGACAACTGCCGTCAGTGTAACACGACAGACTGTTGGGGCGACACGGCACACGAGGGGATGGGTGGCCAGCATCACGCCCGACCGCCTTTGTCTCCCCAGTGGCGATATTTATACACCGCACCAGGTACGTATTTGAGGCGGAGCCGACCTAGGGGAAGCCCAGGACCGGTTCAGATAATAATCACTGGTATTGAACGTGAGCGGGAATCGAACTCGGCTCGCCGGGTTCGGAGCGCATTGCGCTAACCGAAGCACCACCGCTCCCCACACAGACACAGCGCGCTTTGCTACTGAAACCGGGCGACCCGAGTTCGATTCCCGATCACGGCCACCAACACCAGTGGCGATTAGGTGAAGCGGTCCTGGGCCTCCCCTAGGTAGACTCAGCCTCAAATAAGTACCCGGTGCGTAAACATCGCTACTGGGGAGACAAAGGTGGTCGGGCGTGTTGCTGGCCACCCACCCCCTCGTGTGCCCTGCCGGCATTCATAGGTTCCACTCGCTACTAACAGCACTTGCCCCAACAGTCTTTAAAGGCTACACGGGAGTGGGGCTCATCTTTGTCTTTAGATGTCGTCATGTGCGCATGACACGGACCGCTTCAGATAGTCATCACTCGTCTCGGTGGCCGTGAGCGGGAATCGAACTCGGGTCGCCGGGTTTGTAGTGCAGCGCGCTAACCACTACACCACCGCTCCCACACACACGACCACGACCAACACCACCACGACCACCAGTACTACCACCACCAGCACGACCACCACCACGACCAGTACTACCACCACCAGTACTACCACGACCAGCACTACCACCAGCACCACCACCAGTATCAGTACCACCACAACCAGCACCACCACGACTAGCATCAGCACCACCAAGACTCCACCACCAACAACCGCCAACATCACCACCACCACCAGCACTACCACCACAAGCACCACAACCACCACCACGACCACCACCACCACCAGCACGACCACAACTAGCATCAGCACCACCAAGACTCCACCACCAGCACCACCACAACCACCATCACCCGCACAACCACCAGCACCACCACCAGCACCACGACCACCACCAGCACCACGACCACCACCACCACCACGACCACCAGCACCACGACCACCAGCTCCACGATCAGCACCACCACAACCAGCACCACCACAACCAGCACCTCCAGCACCACCACGACTAGCATCAGCACCACCAAGACTCCACCACCAACAACCGCCAGCACCACCACCACGACCAGCGCCCAGGCAGGCAGGAGTCTCACCTTGGTGTAGACCCCCCAGCACGAGCAGCACTACCATCAGTACCACCACAACCACAACCAGCACCACCACCACGACCGCCACCACCGCCACCACCAACACCACGACTATCGCCCAGGCAGGTCGGCGTCTCACCTTGGTGTAGACCCCCCACGACAGCTCCGTCTCGATCACCATCACCACGATGCCGAACATGCCAAAGATGAGCGCGTAGTCGCTCAGCCGTTTCCGCTTCTCGAAGAGCGCCCGCCGGAGTCCCAGGCGGTAGCCGATGTTGTGTTTTTTGGGTTTCTCCTCCTTCGAGATCGACACGGACCTCGAGGAGGGCCCGGTAGCCGCCGCCGCTGCTGCTGCTGGTGGGCGAATGGGGTTCGTCTGCTCGATCCTGCCACCCACGGCCGCTGCTGCTGTTCCACCACCACCACCACCCGAGTCACCACTCGACACCACCGGCGACTGAGAAGCCACGAGTTCTGGCTGGAGTCTCTGCGCTTCTGGATCCTGGTTCAGACACTCGCCCTTCCTCGCCACGCTGGAGTTGCACATGGGCCTCATGACACCCCCGTTGTACCTGCAGCTGCTCATTGCTGCACCGCTGCTGCTGCTGCCCTTGGAGTTGGCGTTGGTGGCGGTGTTGGTGGTGGTGTCGACTGCCGATGCCTCGCGCTGCCAGCCAGCACTGCCGCCCAAACGACTTCTGCCAGGAGCGCCAGTCCTGCTGATGCCGATACTGCTGATGATGATGATACTGCTGATGATGATGCTGCTGCTGCCGATGACACTGCTGATGATGCTGATGGTGCTAGTTTTAACGCTGCTGCCGATGATGCTGCCACCGATTCTCCGCCTCCGCCGCCGTCGCCGCGGGAGATGATGAAGGTGAAGGTGGTGCTGCTGCTGATGATGATGATGGTGGTAACAGTGACTGTGGTGGCGGTGGTGCTGGCGGCGGCGGCGTTGCTGATGATGCTACGGGGCGCTGGGGTCCGACCCGGCGCCCGCATGATGCTCATGAAGCGACTGCTGCAGCTGATGATGATGCTGCTGCTACTGCCGCCGAGTGCTTCCACCGGCCACAGCAGCGGGGCGAGAGATTTTCAATCGCGCTCCGGGTGACGGCGAACGCGGATAATCCGCTTCGGGTTTTTTGAGAGGGGGATTTTTTTTTTCTTGGCTTCTCCCCCCCACCCCTCGTCTATCCTCTCCGGATTTCCCTCCCCACCCCCTCTCCTCTCTCCCTCCCCCTCTCCTCTCTCCCTCCCCACCTCGTCTCCTCTCTCCCTCCTCCAATCCACAATCCAGCGTCCACCCTCCACCCCGCAATCCTCCCACCTCCTCCCCCAGCCCTCCCCGCGCGCCTTCGCCCAATGTCGCTCCGCTCCGCGATGTCCCCGGGGCTGCCGCGCCGGGTTTTGTCGTGTTGTGTGTGAATTGGAATGACGTAATGAGGTGATGGAGAGAGCCGGACACGTGCTCAGGCGCAGGATGGGCGATTCCCCCACCCCCGCCCCCTCCCCACCACACCCCACCCCCTCCCCCCACCTTAATTGGCCATTGGGAGCGGGCACGAGTAATGGATGACGATTATGGTAATGATGATGGTGGTGATTTTGATGGTGGTGGTGATGATGGTGATAGTGGTGATGATGGTGGTCATGGTGATCATGATGGTGGTCATGGTGATCATGATGGAGGTGGTTATGGTGGTGATGATGATAACCATGGTAGTGATGATGATCATGATGGTGATGATGATGGTGCTCATGATGGTGGTCATGTTGATGATGGTTATTATGATGGTGATCATGATATTCTTTGGTTATTTCGGTAAAGTCACGTAGATAGAGAAATTATAATAAAAATAAAGTGAATAAAAAAATAAAAAACACTAATGTAGACTTTAGCCTGGTTCTTAATCAGAGTGAGTGTACTGGCAGTCTATAATGTAGAATGTAGCCTGGTTATTAAGTTTGGTGAGTGTACTGGCAGTCTATAATATAGACTTTAGCAATGGTTATTAAAAGGAGTGAGCGTACTGTCAGTCTATAATGTAGACTACTTATTATTGGTTCTTTCGGTAATGAAAAAAAATGAAAATAAAAGAAATGAAAAAAATTCAAGACGTTTCGATCACAACACAAGCGATCGAAAAATAGATTTTTTTTTTCATTTGATTTTTATTACCGAAAGAACCAAGAATACGTCTACATTATGAACTGCCAGTTCACTCATCCAGCTAAATAACCATGCTACAATCTACATTATAAACTGCCAGTACACTCACCAAACTTAATAACCATGCTACAGTCTACATTATAGGCTGCCAGTACACTCACCAAACTTAATAACCATGCTACAGTCTACATTATAGGCTGCCAGTACACTCACTACGATTAAGAAGCAGGCTACAGTCTTCATTAGTGGTTTTTTTATTTCATTTATTTTAATTTTAATTCACTTTATTTGCATCATTATTACATTTCTATCAACATGACTTTACCGAAAGAACCAAAGAACATTCCTGCAGTCACGAAAATTTTGAGTCGGTGATGATGATGATGTTGGTGATAGTGGTGATGATGGTTATCATGATGGTGCTCATGGTGGGTGTGGTGATGGTGGTGATGATAATGACGATGACCATGATGGTGATGCTGATGTTGGTGATAGTGGTGATGATGGTTATCATGATGGTGCTCATGGTGGGTGTGGTGATGGTGGTGATGATAATGATGATGACCATGATGGTGATCATGATGTTGATGATAGTGGTGATGATGGTTATCATGATGGTGCTGATGGTGGGTGTGGTGTTGGTGGTGATGATAATGATGATGACCATGATGGTGATCATGATTGTCGTAATGGTGGTGATGATGGTGGTTGTGATAATGATCATAATGATCATGATAATGATCATATTGGTGATCATGATAGTGGTGTTTCGATTTAAAGCTTTCGTGACTGCAGGGATTTATCTTCTTGGTTCTTTTGGTAAAGTCACGTAGAAGGGAAGTAATACAATAATAAAAAGAAAACATAATAAAGTAATTTTCACGACGTTTCGGCCACAACACCTGAGGACGGCTGCTTGCGTTGTGGCCGAAACGTCGTGAGAATTATTTTATTATGTTTTATTTTTATTATTTTATTACTTCCCTTCTACGTGACTTTACCGAAAGAACCAAGAAGATGATGGTGGTGGTAATGATGTTGGTAGTGGTGATGGTGCTAATGGTGGTGATGATGGTTCTGATGGTGATGTTGATGATGGTGCTCTTGGTGATGAGGTGTGTGCCGCTGTTGCGATGATGCGAGAGCAATGTCCTAGTCATTGGTTATTTAATTATCACCGTCGCAGTTATTATGATCATCAACACAATCACCACCATCGTCCATCACCATCCCAGCCATCATTACAATCACTATAATAATCTCATCATGTGATTATTGAAAACATCTTCCAAATCATTATCATCATCAGAATCCCATCATCACAATCGTCATCCGAAACGATTTTCACAGTCATTTCCATCATCAGAATCATCATCATCACCATCATCCGAAACGATTTTCACAGTCATTTCCATCACCAGAATCATCATCATCACCATCATCCGAAACGATTTCCACAGTCATTTCCATCACCAGAATCATCATCATCACCATCATCCGAAACGATTTTCATAGTCATTTCCATCATCGTCACCATCATCCGAAACAATGTTCACAGTCATTTCCATTATCAGAATCATCATCATCATCATCATCCGAAACGATTTTCACAGTCATTTCCATCATCATCATCATCATCACCATCATCCGAAACGATTTTCACAGTCATTTCCATCACCAGAATCATCATCATCACCATCATCCGAAACGATTTTCACAGTCATTTCCATCACCAGAATCATCATCATCACCATCATCCGAAACGATTTTCATAGTCATTTCCATCATCGTCACCATCATCCGAAACAATGTTCACAGTCATTTCCATTATCAGAATCATCATCATCATCATCCGAAACGATTTTCACAGTCATTTCCATCATCATCATCATCACCATCATCCGAAACGATTTTCACAGTCATTTCCATCACCAGAATCATCATCATCATCACCATCATCCGAAACGATTTTCACAGTCATTTCCATCACCAGAATCATCATCATCACCATCATCCGAAACGATTTTCATAGTCATTTCCATCATCGTCACCATCATCCGAAACAATGTTCACAGTAATTTCCATTATCAGAATCATCATCATCATCATCCGAAACGATTTTCACAGTCATTTCCATCATCATCATCACCATCATCCGAAACGATTTTCACAGTCATTTCCATCACCAGAATCATCATCATCACCATCATCCGAAACGATTTTCACAGTCATTTCCATCACCAGAATCATCATCATCACCATCATCCGAAACGATTTTCATAGTCATTTCCATCATCGTCACCATCATCCGAAACAATGTTCACAGTCATTTCCATTATCAGAATCATCATCATCATCCGAAACGATTTTCACAGTCATTTCCATCATCATCATCATCACCATCATCCGAAACGATTTTCACAGTCATTTCCATCACCAGAATCATCATCATCACCATCATCCGAAACGATTTTCACAGTCATTTCCATCACCAGAATCATCATCATCACCATCATCCGAAACGATTTTCATAGTCATTTCCATCATCGTCACCATCATCCGAAACAATGTTCACAGTCATTTCCATTATCAGAATCATCAACATCATCATCATCATCCGAAACGATTTTCACAGTCATTTCCATCATCATCATCATCACCATCATCCGAAACGATTTTCACAGTCATTTCCATCATCAGAATCATCATCATCACCATCATCCGAAACGATTTTCACAGTCATTTCCATCACCAGAATCATCATCATCACCATCATCCGAAACGATTTCCACAGTCATTTCGATCACCAGAATCATCATCATCACCATCATCCGAAACGATTTTCATAGTCATTTCCATCATCGTCACCATCATCCGAAACAATGTTCACAGTCATTTCCATTATCAGAATCATCATCATCATCATCCGAAACGATTTTCACAGTCATTTCCATCATCATCATCATCATCACCATCATCCGAAACGATTTTCACAGTCATTTCCATCACCAGAATCATCATCATCACCATCATCCGAAACGATTTTCACAGTCATTTCCATCACCAGAATCATCATCATCACCATCATCCGAAACGATTTTCATAGTCATTTCCATCATCGTCACCATCATCCGAAACAATGTTCACAGTCATTTCCATTATCAGAATCATCATCATCATCATCCGAAACGATTTTCACAGTCATTTCCATCATCATCATCATCACCATCATCCGAAACGATTTTCACAGTCATTTCCATCACCAGAATCATCATCATCATCACCATCATCCGAAACGATTTTCACAGTCATTTCCATCACCAGAATCATCATCATCACCATCATCCGAAACGATTTTCATAGTCATTTCCATCATCGTCACCATCATCCAAAACAATGTTCACAGTCATTTCCATTATCAAAATCATCATCATCATCATCCGAAACGATTTTCACAGTCATTTCCATCATCATCATCATCACCATCATCCGAAACGATTTTCACAGTCATTTCCATCACCAGAATCATCATCATCACCATCATCCGAAACGATTTTCACAGTCATTTCCATCACCAGAATCATCATCATCACCATCATCCGAAACGATTTTCATAGTCATTTCCATCATCGTCACCATCATCCGAAACAATGTTCACAGTCATTTCCATTATCAGAATCATCATCATCATCCGAAACGATTTTCACAGTCATTTCCATCATCAT